GCTGGCCAGGTAATCGAGTTTTGACTCGTCACTAGGTCTAAATCATAAGTTGTAAGTTATAAGCGCCAAATATTATTAGCTATCAGTTAATTATCAACTATTATTTAACTTTAATTTTAATTAGATTTACCAAAATTACTTAACTATCAGTTAACTTATCGATTATCCGACAACTCTTTAATTAGATCCGCTAAACATCATAGTCGATGAAACTGCCATGCGGAGACCAAAACCAAATTCACTTTCGAATTGTTAAATGTGGAGAAACAATAAATGTGGAGTATGTCTTAAAATTTAAACTTGGATAATATATGACAGTCTTGCTATAAATATAACAACAATGCCGTAACTGTAAGTACATTTTTGTTTTCCACTTAGGAAAATATACATATGAAGCATTCATTAATTGTTTGTAGGGAAAAGTCAGCCACATAAATACTTCGGTTTCATTTGCTGTCTAATTTTCGGCGCTGTTTCAAATATGCAATTTGTGGACGGTTTTGTTTTAACTCAAATAAATAACTATGAGAACCGCTAAAATCTCGTTGACGGAATGGTACCATCACGGTTTGTTACCGTAGATTATTTTTCTTATCTACTGGTAAAAAACGATGACGGTACCATTCTGTGACGTGAGCTTAACATTTTTCACTAACTATTGACCACATTTTATAATGTCCTGGATTTATGAATATTGTGTTCAACTTCTTATACATTTCATTTAATATATTGATTAAAAAAACATTTCGAACTGTTTCATATTAGACATTTTATTTAAGGTGAAATTAGAATACACGGTCAATTTCGTAGAATTCTGGAGCTAATTAATTTGTCGATTTTTAAATATTAAAGATAAAAGTATCGAGTAATTAACTCGGGTGAATAAAGAGAGTTTTCTCATATTATTATCTAACATTCAAATAACATAGGCATTATAAGAAACACATTTTTGTAATTATGCAACCCATCTAAATGAATTATGAGAAAGATATGAACAAGTTGAAGAATATTGAAAGATATGCATAACATAGTCCCGCTCACCTGCTCACGGTGGGTAGTGCCCACCACTTTGTTTTACATGAAAAACGTATTCTGAGAATACGTTTTTCATATAAAACAAAGTGGTGGGCACTGCCCACCGTGGGCAGGGGATCAAAATTTATGCATAACATATATATCAAATAGGAATAAAGAGAGAAAAGGTGTAAGGAATTTTTGCATAACATCCACAAAGAGATAAACCTATATAAAAGCAATTCCATCACTTTTCACTATTGTTCTTTCCCCACTTGGCTATTTTCAACTATATATTTATTCTCTTTTAGATTGATCCAATAATGTATACATTTTGGCCTAAAAATTAGTATCAAATTAAACCAAAAAGCTATCCTATAATAAAGTCTCAAGTATACATTTGAGTTTGTAGAGAGTGACTTAAACTAGAATTAGTATAATAGATATAAAATTTGAAGGACATATACTTTACATTGAATCAATATTTTTATCTCATTTTTTGTACCAAAAAAAAAAATAAAAATATTTATCTCATTTTAACGAAAATAAGATAAAAATTATAGAAATTAATGTTCATCTCATCTCACTTTACTTTCTTTTTAGCAAAATTCCATTAACACAATTATAAAATGAAAAGGATTAATTAA